TGATTGAGGGTAAGATAATCTTTTCATCATAACAATTGTCTTTTACAAGAATATATTAATCATTTTATTTTTTATTGATGGTAAAATTACTAATTTAACTCCATAATAAAAAAATATAATGCATAATACTCAAGGGCATTTTTATCTTTTTCTTTATTTTTAAAAAGTGGTGTAATTATTTCGATGTTTTTAAAAACAAATTCAACATAACTCTTTCACAAGAACATTGCTTTTATTTTAAATTTAAAGATTATTCAAAGATATTATTATAATTTATATATAAATTAAATATTATTAAAAAAATTATAGTGTTGGGTGCATAGCACGTTAGAGGCACTTGGACAATCCTGTGCCATGTAAAAAATGTATTTTAAGGTTGTCTAATTATCAAATATCTCCTTCTAAAAATGATGCATGGAATGTCTTTGCACGACTCTTTAAGCAATAGGGTGTCTTTTAGTTTGAGATCGACGATCATTTTATTTTTTTCTTTTCTCTTTTCTACTTGAATTAGCGCCAACCTTTTTAAAATTTCATACCAACCTTTTCAATTTTTTCTTCTCCATACTTAGTACATGTTCTTTTAATTACTATTTTTTTATTTTAAATAAGCTATAAAATTATAAATATTTTTTAATTTCACCCATTTTTTTAATATTTTAAAGTTGATCATCATTGATTTGATTGCTATTTTATTTGCAATAATTTTTTAGATTATTTTTTTCTTACAAGTTCATCCTCTATAAGGTATTTTTCTATCAAATTTGATTCTTATTTTTTTATTATTATTATATTTTTTACTTTGATAAGTTTTTAAAATTGATTTTTTTTTTATGATTTTATCATTCAAAATTATATTGGTTGGGAATTAAGTTTCTTGATTAAACCAGAATTCATAATTTCACGGGTTACGAGTTTTAGAGAATAAATCAGGTTTAAAAGGTTTCTCAGGTTAGCCTGTTTTTTTCTTTATTAAAGCTAAATTTTTTACCTTTTTTTTGCTTTATTATTTTTTTATGGTTTTCTTTTTATAGAATTAGTTTTGGTCTTATAATCAAATTCATTAATTTTAAAGATCAACATGAGTTGATTTTTTTAAAATTAATTTATTTTTATTTTATTATTTATCATTTAATTTATTAAAAATTGATCTTCCAAACTTTTTTCTAAGTGCTAATTACGAAGTTGATTAATTGTGCTCACATTATGATGAAAATGCTTTCTTAATGATTAGTTCATTGAGTTCATTGTTTCGAGTTGATTATGATAAAACTTCAATAGTAGTTCTCCTAACATAGTTTAGGTTTCATCTGATTTATATGATTTAAATAACTTAATAAATCAAAATAATTAAGTGAATAACATGACTTATTAATTATAGTTTAACATGATTTATAGATAAGTTAGATAACAACTTTTTATCTAAGTATAATATATATGTTTCACATCATTAATGCTTCTAATTTTATATAGACATAAATAATTCATTTAAATTATATAAATTTAATTTAATTTTATAACATTAAACATACTTAATTAATAATAACTTGAATAATTTCATCAAATTATTCATAAATAAAAAATAATATTAACCTGGTTGGGTCTTCTGGGTATCTTTACCGAACACAACCAAACCAAACATTAAGCAAGCACAAAAGGCGTTGTGCATAAAGAAAGTCTTTGTGGGGGCCGTTCCTTGGCTCATCAAGGTGACTAGAGCAACACAATCGTGACCATTTTGTCGAGCTCCCCAACACGACACACCTACCCGATAAAAAACCGCCAAAACTGACTGAACCCTCTTCCTCACATCTCCCTCGTGCCACATCAACTCGACTTCCCATGTTTCTATAAAATCCCAAACATCTCCGTATCTTCTTTCTCCACATCTTTCATGGCTTTCATGGTCTCCAACAAGCCTCTGTTTACATTGATGTCCGTAGCCGATGCAGCTACATGGTACTGTGCCCTTGTCCTTCTTGCTCTAATATTGCTTACTTCTTTAAGAGAGGCATCTCCCACATACGATGATGGTCGTCACCATGATGTTGTCGTTGAAGGCAATCAAACATTTTACCGGCCGTGTGATGAAATTTATGTTGTGAAAGAAGGAGAAACCCTTCACACCATCAGTGATAAGTGCGATGACCCTTTTATAGTGGAGGAGAATCCCCATATTCATGATCCTGATGATGTTTTTCCCGGTCTTGTTATCAAGATTACTCCCTCAAGGTCTAGGAAATTATTGCGGTAGCTAGTTTTTGTTGATCGTCTTTATAGTATTAGTCTTCTTGGCCTGTTTGTTACTCTTTTCTCTTATCTTTTTTTCTTGAAATACAAAATAGTGTTATGTGAAAAATAGCCACCATATAAAGTCTGCTTTTGATTACTTCGTTTTGTTGAGTTTCCATGTATCGATGTTTGTAGGCTTTACGTACACATCAATTGCGAGAAGTTAAAAGGGAGGGAGGGAGGGAGATCTTCTATGAAATATTTTGCATAGTAATTGTGTTTGTATTCATGGTAGTAAGCGAAGTCTCGAAGATATGTATATAAAATTTATTGAACCAAAAAGAGATTTGAACATCCCAATGTTACTATTTCTTGAGGAATATAGTTTGACAATATACGCAGTATATTTTTCAAGCTAATAGATGGTTGTGTCACTGTTACTGCTGTTCTTCTGTAAAGGGAGAGGTTTTTAATTTATTAAACTAATTATAAGATATATTTCCATGTAACCCT